AGCGAACTCGAGATATGGCCAAGAAGTGGTCAGCTAATTTTCGTCTACCCACTACTCAGGCAAAGAACTGCCACACCACGATCAACCTCTTAGATAAGATGGAAGAATCCCGCATGCTCTCGCCCATTGAGCTTCATCTTCGGACTGTAGTCAAATTATCCTTACACCGCTACAATGCTGATCTGGCTGCCTACTGGCGGCAACGTGCTAAAATCAGAGACTGCGTTCTTGGTGACGAAAATTCGGCCTACCTGCACGTTTGTGCCTCCGTGCGCTACAGGAAGAACCAAATCAAATCTCTTGAGGTGGACGGCGTCTCCTACACCTCTCAAGTGGACAAGGAGCGCATCCTTCTAGATTTCTTCAAAAACCTTGTCGGCACCGTGGTTCGGGCTTCCTTTTCCTTCGATCTTCCGTCTCTGTTGGCTGGCTCCTCCCTATCCACCTCTCAAGCTAGGGATATCGTGCGTCCTTTCACGATCGAGGAAATTAAGCTTGCTCTATGGGGCATGAATGACAACGCAAGCCCCAGTCCCGATGGTTTTGGACCAGCCTTCTGCAAAGCAAATTGGAATCTAGTAAAAAACGACTTGCTCAATCTCCTAAACGACTTTCATAGCGGTACGGCCGACTTAAGACGCATCAACAAGGCCTATATAGTGCTTCTTCCAAAGAAGCTGGGGGCTATGCAACCCGAGAATTTTAGGCCCGTATCGCTTCAAAACTGCACGGTCAAAATAGCCTCGAAGTGCTTGGCAAATAGGGCCCAATACCTTTACTCGACGGAACACGCATGCGAACACGATAGATTTTGATGATCAAGCGTGTGTTGTCCATGGAAACCGGCTCCCCTACCAGGCCCTCCTGTGTAAGGCCGGCGAAGATAGTTTCAGCCTCGCCGCCAAGGATGGAATCACGGGAAGGTCTGCTTCATCCCAACCAACCGCGAGGACCACGCTCAGGTACACACATACATTGATACATATAGTAGCGCGGGCTAAAATAAAGCGCTACTACTAGCAGTAGCGCGTGTACGAACAAAGCGCTACTGATACCAGAATAGCAGTAGCGCTGTGAGGAAGAAACGCGCCCGACGCCGGCGTGCCGTCCAGGCAAATTAAGATCGATGTGATCCAAATCGTTGTTATAATAAAACATAAACAAAAGTTGGTGCATGCGTGCACAAAACAGCTGATGAGGCTTAGGTAGCTGCTACCAGACGGCAGGTACGTACTTGGATAAGAATTACATATATTGGAAGACGACGACAACCCATTCGTGTGCAGCATGCATTATGATCGGTAGTTTCAAATCAATCAATACAATCATGTGGATAGACCATGGAAGAAGTTATACAACGCAATGTCGAATCATGCAGCTTACTCGCTAACATGTGCACGTCCTGTGTGTAAACGACGAGGAAGTATGGAATCTCTCATGTCTCCCAACTTGCAACTCAAAGAGGGACAAAATCAAACGCACGCCCGGATGCGATTGTTGAGGGGGTGTCATCGAATCATCCATCGATCTCAGTGGTCTGGTCTCACCAGCCGCGTGTCCGGTTAATAGTAGCTACTACACCAAGATAATCGTGCCCGCATGTGCAATCCGCGCTCTCCTGGCGGATCCATCTGGAAGGCGAAACAAGCCACAGCACGATTGGCACATAGTTGACGATCACCTGGTCAGTCGTCCATCCAACGGTAGATCGCTGTTGTCCGTCCGTGCTCTGCTGTGTGTACTGCATAATGTGCAGTGGGTTAGCCTATATGCCTGTATGTCTGGACCGCACGGTTTTAGGGCTCCAACACGAACCTTTAATTTAGGCTCGTCCGGTCTGGACGTCTGAAAATCCTTTGGCTGGTCGCAAATCGAGGGGCGATTTTGGGAAGTTCGGGCATCCACCATTTTGGTCTCTGACGACACGATCCCACCCAAAATAGGCTAGCTCTAGAACCCTCGTTGCATCCTGTCTCACCGGCTACTTCCCACATTGAAGCTTTGGTACTCTGCCTGCCATGTTCATGGCCGAGCAGCCGGCGAGCAAACCGAGGAGCCTACCCGGCTATTAAAGGCCGACCGGCGACATTTTCCACATTTCCATGTGTCCACGTCACCATGGCCAGAGCCACCCATCCACATCCAAATTCTTGACAATCGCCGTCGCCATGGTCCGCTCCAAGATCACATGGTATAAGATGTTGATGCCAGAGCGCCACGCTAAAATCACGGCGGAGGTCCACGCCACGGATGCCAGTTGTCAGGCCCGCATTGTGGTGGACTAACCTCTGAGCTCTCTGGACCCGAGCTAGAAGGAGGAGTAGATGGGGGAGGAGGAGGCGACCCCATGGTGCTGGCGGTGGTCCAGGAGGAGGAGCTGATAGTCCTTCATGCCATGGCCAGCGGGCCAGACGGCCAATTCTCCATGCCGGAGTCAGAGGAGCAAGTCTGCCTTGCGCTACTAGACGAGCGCCGCACGGCCATGGCTCAATTGGAGGCGGAGCAAGCGGATGTCACTGCCAATGCATTGCTCCTCGCGGACCTTGAACTCATTGACGTGAATCAGGCGGTTTATCCATCCGTGGAGCGCCCGCATGCTGGACCGTGGTCAGCTCCGCATCAACTACGCACGGCGCACTTGACTCTTCGAGAAGCTCGAGAACGAGGACAAGGACGAGAAGGATCAGCACGATGGCGATGCCAAAAAGACACACATCGGCGGTTCCTGTGGGTATGCACTAGCAGCCAACGACGATGAGGCCGGCAGCTCCGTTGCGGGTTTCATCGACCTCACCTCTGATTGGGAGGAGTAGGTTTTGGAGTAGTTTTTAGTTGTTTTAGAGAAATTTTACATTGTACTAGGAACGTGTCTGTGCGTTGCCGTGGTTGTCAAATATTTTTTATTTCAATAATTTGGTAGCCCGGGTCATGCATGATAAGTAAATTAATATGAATGAGTGGCGTATTGCGGTGAAATGTGATGTGCAATCAAATGATGTAATCCCACGTTATTAGAAAAAGCAAGTTAATTAAGATAGAGTTTATGTAGTGCTGCAAAATGTAAGTAAACTATTTTGATTGAGCGACGTGTTTGGAAGGTGCGGTCAAATATGACATGATGGAAAACACCAGCAGGATGAAAACTTAGATGGAGAACAAGGCCGGTGAGGAAAAACCGGTTTACAAAGAGTTGTGGGATACACTATTTATTTTTAAGTAGTAGAAAGAAAATCTAGTACTCCCTTCGTGAAGTATTATAAGAGTGTTTCGATGCCCAGGCTCATCTGCACCCGGTAGGAAAAAAAATCATAAAAAATTCAATAAAAATTCTAAAAAAATTGCATGGTAGAAAAATTAGTGCGTGAGGTCCGCTCCAATTTTCAAATCATTTGGACATCTAGGAAGCTCTCGACAAAAAAGACAAATCGGGTTAGAAAGTGCATGAACAGTAAACTTTTTTAGACTTCGGATTTGTCTTTTTTGCCGAGAGCTACTCAAATGTCCAAATGATTTGAAAATAGGAGTGGACCTCACGCATCAAATTATCTACCTTGCAAAAAATAATTGGATTTTTTTAAATTTTTCTAGTATTTATTTTGATGTTTTTTCGTCAGCGCAGGAGCAGATGAGACTGGGCTCAGAAGCGAATTTCAGTTTAGATCACTACTTTACAGAGATAACTAGTACACTACTTTACAGAGATAACTAGTACACTACTTTACAGAGATTAGATCACTACTTTACAGAATTAACATTGCATAGCTTAACATCGCATAGCTTAGGCCAACTCCACCACACGACCCCATCCTGTCCGGCCCCATCCGTTTGGGATAAACGGGACAAATCGGGCGACCCAGCGCACGGGAGCAAACGGACTTTTGTCCGTTTTGTGTCCGTTTTTGACCAATTCCCGGTTTTGGGTTGAAACGGACAGCGCGCGGACGGGCGGGACGCGCGCGCTTGTCCGCCCCTGGCCCGCCTGTCGGTGGGAGAAACCAAAACCCCCCACGCCCCATTTGGCGCCATTTCCCCAAACCCTCCGACGTCCCTCCCGCCGCCCCCTCTCTCCCCCGTCCATGGCCGATGCCCAGCCGAATTCCGGTCGCCTGGCCGTCGACCCGCCCGGAAAGGTGAAGAAGAAGGAGGCCAAGGCGTCAAGGAAGCCGCGGTCGGAGTGCACGCCGGAGGAGATCGCCAAGTTGGACGCAGAAGCGGCGAAGAAGAGGAGCCGGAGAGCAGTCGTCAAGGTCGATGCCGCCGCGGCCAAGTTCGTCACCGAGCGCGATGCGATGGAGGCCGCGCGGCGCAAGGCCGCGGCCGACGAGAAGGAGACATCGTCAACAAAGTGCACGCCCTCCTCATGCTTGGACGTGTAGGCCGCTGGCTTTGTTGCCGGCGTGATGAACTGGGGCCGTGAACTAGGGCCTGACATTTAAAACGTTGCTCTTTTTTTAAATAGACGCGAACAGGATGGGGCAAACGGATGCGGCCGCGCGCTGTGCGCGCGGCCGCCGCATCCCAGGACACGCCCAGACACTGCCCCATTGCTCTATCCAAACGGACAGAGCTCGGATAAAACGGACGTTCGTTTGGGGTCGCGCGGTGGAGTTGGCCTTACTCCGCCTTACTCCGCCTTGTTCAAAGGGTAGAATCTAATCATATGTCCGTCGGTGGAGGCGCCAGCAGTGATGCATCTTGACCGGGCGTGCGTGCGTGCATCGCTCCCCAACATGACAGCTAAGGCACACAACATACCATCCATCGCCGCCGTTGCCTTGAGTTTTGACTAACGCGGCGAGCCTCCTCCTCCTGTCATCCTATGTGATGCGCACCCACACGTGCAACCACCGGTTTCCAAGCTGCCCTGCCTGGCTGCCTCCTACCCTCTGCATATATACAACATCCATCGTCTCCTCCACACCACCACATCTCGTCTCATCTCACACGTCTTGCAGCAGCAACAACAACAAGCTCAAGAAGAAGCAACAACAAGAGCTACAATGGCTCTCAACTTCGGTCGCTCCATCTCTTTCCCTCTCACGCCGGCGAGGTCCTTCTCCAAGCCCCGCCATACCCGCTCCATCAGCCTTCCGGGCAACGCCTCCTCCCACCCGCTCCTCGCCAACCTCCACGCCCACATCGCCGCCGTCCGTTCCTGGATCCAGCAGGGCCCTTCCTCCTCACTCCCGGCCGGCCTGGCCGCCATCCAGGCGCTCCACTCCTCCCTGGCCGACCTCCTCCTCCTCCCGGAGTCCGGGACCGTGCTTCGGAGCCCTACCAGCAATGCCGCCGACTACCTCCTCGATGCATTCCTCCTCCTCGCCGACGCGCACCAGGGCTTCCATGAGTGCCTTATGTCGCTCAGGCACGCCGCCACCGAGTCCTGCGCGGCCTTGCGTAGGGGCGACGCCGGGAGGCTCGCGTCCGCTGCCAGGTCCCAGCGTCAGGCCGAGAAGGAGCTCGCCCGTCTCGCCGCGTCCGTCTCTGCCGTCTTCTCCAAGAGCGCGCGCCTGAACCTCGCCGCCGTTAGCGGTGAGGAGGCCGAAATGGCCTACGCGCTCGTCGAGGCGGCCGCTGCAAGCGCCGTGGCCTCCGCGGCCGTGTTCTCGGCCGCCGCGTCCATGTCGACCGCGGCGTCATCTTCCAAGAAGACGGCCACGTTTATTCCCGCGTTCACCAGGAGGGCCGCCACCACGCCGGAGACGGCGGAGGCCACAGTGGAGAGGCTGCACGCTTTGGAAAGGTGCTTGAGCGAGTGCGACGGCGTCTGCGACATGGTGTTCAGGAGTGTGGTGCAGACCAGAGTTTCACTGCTCAACATCATGACGCCTACCATCTAGCTAGGAACTCATGTGTACAAGAAAAGAAGCTTAATTAGTTAGGCCATGTGTATTTTACTGAACGTTACAACAAGATGTCGGTGTACATAATATACAGACAAAAAATCAATACAGAGAAGAGGATTTTGCTACAGCTCATATGTTCATAGTTCTGTTTGACAACATAGTACAAGGTTTTCTTCAATTTCTCACTCTGTTATTTACAGATGCAGCTACCTAGTGCAAAGCAATGGAATAATTTGTCCTAATATGAAACTGATGCAATCACTGATCAGCATTGTTTGAGTGCTTTGCTGTTTCGTAGAGCTTACCTTGTGCTAACCATAAGGGTGACCATAATGATGAGCACTCTGTTCAAATTTGCTTCACTTCGATGGAACATTTCTTCGTTATAAATTTCCAGTTCCAACTCATCTAAGACACCCGAAGTCTATCAAAGCCCAGTGACCATACAAGGTCAGCTATACTTTGATGAGCATATATGCATACACTTATCTATTTCATTTTTACAATTGTGAGCAAAAAAATCTCCAAGCTATTGTGAAGCTAATTCACCAAATTAACAAGCCGACCTACAAACATGTTTAATCCCTAATTAATTCCAATTTAATCACACCTCTGTTCTTGTGGTCTCCCGTAAATCGTACAGTTGTAATATGCAACTTTATCACACATTCACACCCTCAAACCAGACATACTAATTATTCCAAGAAGGGGTAAAATCGATACAACCACTATATGTTTTTGACCGCGCCGTCGGTCGATCTGTTTCACTAATTGACTTTGAAATCACAGCTAATCAACAATGTCGGAGGGGACACTAGGAATCTTGACACCAAAGCTGGCCAGTCTAGCAGCTCTAGTCATGCTAGGTTGATCTAGAATCTACCTAGCCTTCCTTGATCTAGGCGCGAGCATGTAGTACAAACATGACTACTGAAACACAGTTTTCTGACACTGATATTAATAAAATGTATCAACTGTGATGTTAAACCGCAATTGGATCACAATATGTGCCACTTGAGCTGTCACAGCCAGAAGGATACATACTTATCACTTACCAATGTCGTTTTTACAGATAAACTGGGAACAAAAAGAGAGGAAATGCCCGGTTTTGCGCATGTCTATAGCATTGCTTGATTAATCATTTAAACAAATTTCCTGAATCTATTTTCAGTTAATTATATACGCATGTTTTACAGAGTATATAATAGAATGATTAGGTTGTTTCCTTTCTTAGACTTGCTTGATCTTATCTTGTACTTCTTGCCAATATGGTACTGATCATATATATGCACTGTCTGATGAACCTTGTGCTGAATAATTTGGGCCGATATTCATTGTATTTAGTACTAATTAATCGATATCAGCCAGTAGGGGCGAAGCCAACATGTAGTGATTGGTTAAGAGAGAACCCAGTGAACTTTGTTAAATCCCTTTATAATTTGTATTTATGTACTGATTATAACGAATTTAAACTTTTTATACCACATAGTGAACCCCAAAGATGAAATTTTCTAGCCACGCCCTTGTCACACAGACAACCACTATTATTCTTCGCTGGCAAATTTAGTTTGGACTGAAGTTAAAATGGTTAAACGTGCAACTTAGACCCTTCTCAAACTAAACAAAACACAAGAGGTCTTCACGGTCCATCTTTTGACATGGCCGCTGTTTGGATTAACATGCCACCACGTTCTTATGCAGCTACTAATCAGCATAGTCAAATGCGACACTTGGAATCTAAACATCAAAGCTACACACTGGTCTAAGGTATAGCCTTACCACTAGTTGTTGGTTTACTTGATCCAAGTGAGATAGTCAAAGTCTAGCAGTTTGTACTCTTTGCTAGTTTGATCTACGGTCTACCTAGCTTACCCCGGCCAGATCTAGGCGGTTTTCTGTCACTAATAAACTGCATCAAAATATGTAGTACATATGTCTTGTTTATTGGTTCCCTTTGTATTTTCTGCCAAATTTTAACCATAGATTTAACTAATAGAATGTTAATGCTTCTCACAAAAAATTATATCGTTGAATTTGTATTTGAATATAGTTTCCGAGGAAGGGTTAAGTATCTTTGAACTCGGTGTGAGATATCGCATTATTCGAGCTGGATGCAGTCGCAGTAAAGAATCATCAACAAGGACGTTCTAGTGCGTTGTAGATTCTTATCCAAGACTTGTATCATTTGATGATGCCATGTGAATCAAGCAACGGGAGAAGGACCCAATAACGAAAGTTTCGTAAAGGGACTAGAGCAGACTACCATGAGACAAAAGATCTTCTTTCTAAAGAGATTCGATTCGGAACTTATATTTATTAACTAAAATCATGGTCAAAATATGACCCTAAATACGAGGAGACTAATAAACCAGAGCGGGGTAGTATGTACCAGTTGAGCTGTGACAACCACAAGTCCACAAAGAAATGGACTTATTATTGCACGCAAATATCAACTCTACATGTAAAAAGAGAGGGCAGCCAATTTTGTTTTGAATGTATTTGTAGTTTTAATTGACCAAATGGCATAAGTATAGTTATTTTGGGGTAGTGTTAACTCAGGATTGTCCAATCGTGCATACGGTTCATCAATGTTTGGCTAGCTTGGACATGGACAAGACAATAATGTGTACATTTCTTGGTAAGATGGTGTTGTATGTGTGATGGACATTGTATTTAATTTTTTTATTTTTATTTTTATTTTTGACACCCTCTCCTAGCAATGAACGATAGATCGCATATCCATCAGGTGATGCCTCCATTTAGGGATTCAGATTTGCATTGTCCTTGGCGGCGGTTTCAATGGGTGAGGACTGAGGACCAAGTCCAATGGTTTTCACCCCCCGACAGCATATGTTCTCAATTTAGAAAAATTCATCCCAGAAAGGTGAAAGACTTTCTAAATCGATCTATTGACTGGCCGTGCGCCGTTTTACCCTAATAGTGTCGGTCGGTCTAGGGTCTTACAACTAATCAACACCGTCAAGCTCTAAACTTGGAACTAATCTAGAACAGCATCTAAGCTCTAGCCTGATTAGATGGGTAGTTGCTATAGTTAATTGTGTCCAAGTGATCAAGTTGGGGCATGCACTTGCCTAGCTCTCTGATCTAGGGTCTCAAGCGTTTTAGTTGTAGTACTAGCTAGCTAATTGAGCTAGTTAATGAATACAACTAAATATGCTAATTAACCACCACTGGGTCAAACTAAGCATGTGGTACTATGAATGTGGTAGTACTAGCTAAGTTACCCAATAAACCCAGTTGCTCAGCTAATCATTCACCTCGCAAGTGGATCAATGGAGATCGGTTGGGTTGTCACGGCCATGAGATTTGCACTTGCACACGCATGGCTAGCTTGGGGACCTGTCATGTCTCATCGCCGTGGACATTGTGAGGCCGGAAGGTCAAGCGATGTAGCCATGAACTGATCCACAGGAGACAGGCTGTTCGAGTGTGGATGAGACAAAACAAAATGCAGCGAGTAGGTCAGCTACCTCCATGTCCATAGCTTGTAAAGTTGTAAGCTTCCCTTGGCCAATCCCTAGTCACAAGAGAGAGAGAGAGAGAGAGAGAGATTCTCACGTGCTCACAATTATACTAACCGTCGTCATCGTCCAGCAGCCGGTTGGATCATGTCTGTCCTCTGTAGAAATAATGCAATGGTAGTTTCCAATCGGATGGTGCCTAGAAGTCCACGTGGAACCCATTGTCCCTTTCAACGGTCATGCTCAATGCCGGGGATGTAACCATGTGGGCCGACGTAAAAAAGTTCATCGTCCCTGTTAACGGTCATATTCTGAGTCGGTACTTCCCTTTTTTTAGGAGGAGCGGTATTTTCCAATTTGGCGCATATGCTGCTTCTGGCCGGCCCATGTAACGGAAAGACACCAGGTGGTTATGTTTGGTTTTGGGAATACTACGGAATATTCCTTTGCCCTTTTTTTATTTTCCTGTTTTTAATCTAGTTCATCATATTTTGTTATTTTCTTCTAAATTATCAAATAAGAATAGTTAATATTGTTTTCAAATTTGTGAAGATTCTTAAATTCATACATTTTTAAACATGCATTCACTTTTTTCGAAAGTCATGATTTTTTTCCAAATTTGCCAAACTTTTTCAAATTTCAAGAACATTATAAACAAATCCATAGACATGTTTTAAACCTGTTACCCTTTGTTTTTCAATTCTATGATCTTTTTTCAAATCCATGTAGAAATTATTTTAAAATTAATGAACTTTTTTATTCCATGAACATTTTCTCAAATTTGCAAATCCTTTTTATATCCGTGAGCATTCTATGATTTCACCAAGTTTTTTAAAATTAATAGAAAAACGACATTTTTTCTAAGAGTGGCGAGCGGGAGAAATAAAAACACAAATCGAGCGGCGGCGAGCGAGCATGCGGTGAGCGAGCAGGAGTCGAGGCAGCAGGACTTGAGTGACCAATTTACAGGGTTGGGACAATGCGGAGACGCCCTCAGCATTGTTGCGCAACCTGGTGCATTTAGCGCTAAAGAGGTAGTCCCCTCTGAGTCAGGCACATTTGTAAATTTGTCCGTGACTAATTAAGGAAGCAATCTTGTCTACGTGATGAACATTCAAGTGTTCTAGTCATCTAAACATTATTAATGACAACAAAATGTTTTTTTGGAAAGTTTTTTCAGGTTGAACAAAATGTGTTGATGCCAACTATATTAAGTTAGCAATTGGTTCGAGGGTAGTTGTACCCTCGGGCCACTAGAGATTAAACTCCAGATTCGACGACATG